CTGCTACTGCAGCGCAGACTCACTATTAACACCTTCATTTCAGAAGAAACTCTGGAGCAGCAGGTGAACGCAGACTGCTGGACAGACTAAAGTGTTATTAAAGCTACATTAAATGTTACATTCACTGTTATGACCAATAATGAACTGATCAGTGATTATGCGATAGAAATACAGCATTTCTATTATAAGCCATGCTAATACGGTTTGCTGTAGGGCTGCTTGATTATGGCAAAAGTCACCATCACGATACTTTTGGTCAATATTAAGATAATAATTACTCACTGACTTCGCATTAATTGGAGTTTTTTTTTAAAAAGCTTGTTTTTTTTAACAGTGGATTTCCTTGAATGTTAAATATGATTCAAATAAAATGCAAATGAAAAATGAATAAAAATAAATAAGATGAAAATAAATCAGACAAACTATATCCCTATTGGATGGTATTACCTGGGGAGGTTCTATAGTTTGAGCGACCCGTGATTTGAATCTAGTATGACTCTATCATGTCTGAAGGTTTTCCAATCTGCTGAGTATCAAGTCCAGAATGAATTTCCCTCTATAATCCTCCAAACTCAGAGCTCCTCATTAACAGCAGTAAAACGAGAGCATCCTTGCCAAACGGAATGCAGCACAATAACCGTATTGATTATAAGATAAGATAATCCTTTATTAGTCCCACAGCAGGGAAGTTCACAGAGCTACTGCAGCAGAGGGAGAGCCAGGCACTCAAGAAACGAGTACCAAGAGGAGAATTAACAAGCAGGATAACTAACCTTCAAGGTTACAGTTTGTTGCTTATTACCTTATAGACAATATATAATACTAAAGATAAAAATATAAACACAAAATTAACAATATAAACATCATAAATAAAAGAGCATAAAATCTTTACACTATAACGATATTTTACACACATTGCACATGGAATATTAGACGTGGAGTATTGATTATCTACTGTAGGTGCGCAAGGTGTAACGCGGAGTGGGGGGGGTTCTACTGGGAGCAGTGTTGGCTGTACCATCTATGCTGTTTTCTATCTTGTTCTTATAATCACTGGAAGCCAAAATCATGAGTGAAATCAAATCTGATTAATTGTCCAGCCCTAGTTCACTGTACAGAGCTGATAGTTGACCTCTCAGTTCAGTATGAGCTTCATTTTCCACTTTCTGAATTCACTCAATAGCTTGAAAAAACAATGATTCACCATATTATATTCCCCACCCACACACACAAACACCCCCCCGCTGAAACCCACGGCCTGCTGGGCAGACACGCTATAATGAAATTTCATCTAAATGTGATGTTTGCCCTGGAATTCCTTCTAAAACTCTTCTACAGATCTCACTGTGAAGCACCATATAGAATCATACAGAATTATGGAGCATCAAAAGAACGAAAGAGTTCTGTTGTTTTATGAAGCATATATTTTTTTCTTTATACTGTCCTAAATGTAAATTTTGTAATCCACCAACACATCCCGGGGTGTATGTGTTTGGGGGGGGGGTGCGGGGGCGGCGTGTGGATGTAATGGGGAAGTTCTTTGTTTTTATGATAACATAAGTGCTAAGATATATGACAAAAGACAATAAAACAGTTCAGCACAAAGCATTGCAGAGCATGATAGTGACGCAGGATGTGTGTGTGTGTGTGTGTGTGTGTGTGTGTGTGTGTGTGTGTGTGTGTGTGTGTGGAGTGTTAAAGAGGACAATACAACTATATCATGGAAAAGTGAAGCATATTCTATCCTGATATCCTGATCTTATCTCGCTGTGTACGACAACAGGCAGAAGTGCAGGGAGGGGTAAATATCCTCCAATTCACAAACAATACACAACTGCACTCACGGCCGTTCTATTTCTGACCCCAAACACGCTCTACCTTCACTCCTTAACCTCTAACAGCACGTATGTGGGACCTCGACTGACCTCTCCAGATTCCACCCACAAAGGAGTTCTTTCATAATTACTGCTGTGAGTTTACATACAGTGATAATGATCTCATTGAACCTCATGCTGAATGAATAACCGACTCTAAATGTAGGTATTGTGATATAAACTCAGTCTGTTCTACAGTTTCTCATTAGGCTGAATGAATAACTGGCTCTAAATGTAGGTATTGTGATATAAACTGAGTCTGTTCTACAGTTTCTCATTAGGCTGAATGAATAACCGACTCTAAATGTAGGTATTGTGATATAAACTGTGTCTGTTCTACAGTTTCTCATTAGGCTGAATGAATAACCGACTCTAAATGTAGGTATTGTGATATGAACTGAGTCTGTTCTACAGTTTCTCATTAGGCTGAATGAATAACCGACTCTAAATGTAGGTATTGTGATATAAACTGTGTCTGTTCTACAGTTTCTCATTAGGCTGAATGAATAACCGACTCTAAATGTAGGTATTGTGATATAAACCGAGTCTGTTCTACAGTTTCTCATTAGGCTGAATGAATACCTGACTCTAAATGTAGGTATTGTGATATAAACCGAGTCTGTTCTACAGTTTCTCATTAGGCTGAATGAATAACCGACTCTAAATGTAGGTATTGTGATATAAACCGAGTCTGTTCTACAGTTTCTCATTAGGCTGAATGAATACCCGACTCTAAATGTAGGTATTGTGATATAAACCGAGTCTGTTCTACAGTTTCTCATTAGGCTGAATGAATACCTGACTCTAAATGTAGGTATTGTGATATAAACCGAGTCTGTTCTACAGTTTCTCATTAGGCTGAATGAATAACTGACTCTAAATGTAGGTATTGTGATATAAACTGAGTCTGTTCTACAGTTTCTCATTAGGCTGAATGAATAACCGACTCTAAATGTAGGTATTGTGATATAAACTGAGTCTGTTCTACAGTTTCTCATTAGGTTGAATGAATAACCGACTCTAAATGTAGGTATTGTGATTGATATAAACCAATTATTAAATAAATTAACTAAATTGTTTTGGTGTTGTTTTCCTTCTCTGTGGTAAACTGAATATCCATTCATGAACACCTACGAATACTTGAATATCAAAATGAGTTGAAATACGTGTCACTAGTCAGGAAGGGGTGCTGTTAGATGTTGATCCAAGCTGAGACTACACAAACATTCATCACTTAGAACCAATTAGAACAAGTTCTGTGATATTTTACTAAATATACTTGTTGGACATAAATGGGTTAATAATCAGCCTGCAGCTGAAGGAGTGAAGAGCTTTCTCCTCAGTAAAGGTGTGATATCTCAGTGAAGGTGTGATATCTCAGTGAAGGTGTGATATCAGTGAAGGTGTGATATCAGTGAAGGTGTGATATATCAGTGAAGGTGTGATATCAGTGAAGGTGTGATATCAGTGAAGGTGTGATATATCAGTGAAGGTGTGATATCAGTGAAGGTGTGATATCAGTGAAGGTGTGATATATCAGTGAAGGTGTGATATCAGTGAAGGTGTGATATCAGTGAAGGTGTGATATCTCAGTGAAGGTGTGATATCTCAGTGAAGGTGTGATATCAGTGAAGGTGTGATATCTCAGTGAAGGTGTGATATCTCAGTGAAGGTGTGATATCAGTGAAGGTGTGATATCTCAGTAAAGGTGTGTTATCTCAGTGAAGGTGTGATATCAGTGAAGGTGTGATATCTCAGTGAAGGTGTGATATCTCAGTGAAGGTGTGTTATCTCAGTGAAGGTGTGATATCTCAGTGAAGGTGTGATATCTCAGTGAAGGTGTGTTATCTCAGTAAAGGTGTGATATCTCAGTGAAGGTGTGATATCTCAGTAAAGGTGTGATATCCCAGTGAAGGTGTGATATCTCAGTTAAGGTGTGATATCTCAGTGAAGGTGTGATATCAGTGAAGGGTGTGATATCTCAGTGAAGGTGTGATATCTCAGTGAAGGTGTGTTATCTCAGTAAAGGTGTGATATCTCAGTGAAGGTGTGATATCTCAGTTAAGGTGTGATATCTCAGTTAAGGTGTGTTATCTCAGTGAAGGTGTGATATCTCAGTGAAGGTGTGATATCTCAGTAAAGGTGTGTTATCTCAGTGAAGGTGTGATATCCCAGTGAAGGTGTGATATCTCAGTGAAGGTGTGATATCTCAGTAAACGTGTGTTATCTCAGTGAAGGTGTGATATCCCAGTGAAGGTGTGATATCAGTGAAGGTGTGATATCTCAGTGAAGGTGTGATATCTCAGTGAAGGTGTGATATCCCAGTGAAGGTGTGATATCAGTGAAGGTGTGATATCCCAGTGAAGGTGTGATATCAGTGAAGGTGTGATATCTCAGTGAAGGTGTGATATCTCAGTAAAGGTGTGATATCCCAGTGAAGGTGTGATATCTCAGTTAAGGTGTGATATCTCAGTGAAGGTGTGATATCAGTGAAGGTGTGATATCTCAGTGAAGGTGTGATATCTCAGTGAAGGTGTGTTATCTCAGTAAAGGTGTGATATCTCAGTGAAGGTGTGATATCTCAGTTAAGGTGTGATATCTTAGTTAAGGTGTGTTATCTCAGTGAAGGTGTGATATCTCAGTGAAGGTGTGATATCTCAGTAAAGGTGTGTTATCTCAGTGAAGGTGTGATATCCCAGTGAAGGTGTGATATCTCAGTGAAGGTGTGATATCTCAGTAAACGTGTGTTATCTCAGTGAAGGTGTGATATCCCAGTGAAGGTGTGATATCAGTGAAGGTGTGATATCTCAGTGAAGGTGTGATATCTCAGTGAAGGTGTGATATCCCAGTGAAGGTGTGATATCAGTGAAGGTGTGATATCCCAGTGAAGGTGTGATATCAGTGAAGGTGTGATATCTCAGTGAA